AGAACTGTGATCTGCCAGAAGACATCCAGTAGATTTGAAAGGTAACAAGCAAAAATGACAATTTGGAGAAAATCCAGGCCATAAACACCACGGAAGTTTTATATCAAGTTTACTGCCAAAAATTTTATTTTACACTCGAGTTGCAAATGAATATAGTGTACATGTCATATACGAAGCACAAGTGCTACGTGAACATAATTGTTAGCAACAACAGTTTCAGGAAACAAAACATCCTCTGTTTCAATATTTGACTTACCTTTTTGGCAATATAAATAACATTTGCAGAGTGGCAGAAGAACAAAGAATAACCACAATTTGTAACTGAGGAGTTTCTGACTGAATGTAAGGAAGACAAGGTTTCCAGTGCTCCAGCTAAGCATCAGAGCAGGCTGCCCAGGGAAGCTGCACAATCAGCATCCCAGAGGTTTTCAAGGTCCAGGTCTGAATTCAGCACTGACTCTGCTCTTAGCAGAAGAGACTAGAGACTTCTCTCAAGATCCTTTCCAATCTCAATAATTATATGATTTGATTCAAGTACAATCAGCAGCCAAAATCAAACGAATCAATGAATGTCTATTTTTCCTCCCCCAACAAAAAAGCAGTACTCATCTTCAATCATCATCTTTACAACAGTCCAGCATTAACTGAAATCAAAGAAACAGACACCCTAAAATTCTCTTTGTAACAGCAATCATGCATTTTTTTAATTGCTCTTTACGTATTTGGAATCATCAACTGCATAACAATATCAAAGATATTCTTAGTGATTTTTAACTGGGAGAATCCCTATCCACACTAAGTTTCTACTGGTTCTTGATACCATGGCAGTGCCAGGTCCCCTGCAAGTGGCCAGGAAAGCCAGAGAACGAGGGTACAGGAGGTGGAGAGGAAGCAAGGATCCCCAAAACATCTCTGTCCTGGAGACCATTTCTGTTCCTGCTTGAGACCTCTTTCTATTACTAGGATTTAAATGAAAAGTGGAACTATCAGGAAGGACTCAAAGCACCAATAATTTCTTTATTTATTTTTAATTCTACATGATAGAAAACTGCAATTAGACAAAAGATGTAAGGCTTCCACTCATCACTAAGGCAGCTGTGGAAGAACAAATTAACGAATGGTATGATGTGATTACAAACAGGCAACAAGTGTAAATATAAAACCTGAAAATTACTAGCAAAATTCTTTGTGCCAACAAGCAACTGACAGTCTAGTGTCAGTTATTCTGGTGCGAATAAAAAGTCAATAAATGTATACATATCCAGAAACACCAAACTAAATCTGACATTCAGCTCTGTGTAGACACCACAGTTCCAAAAAACTCAACTTAGTTTTACACAGAATTTTGTTTCTCAGTCTCAACACATATATGAGGATAATTATGAGCAATCAAAGGTCAGACAACTTGATCAACAATGAATCTCTGCAAATATAAAATCTTCCAACTCTGAAAGCCTGATGAAACTATGAATTCAGATAGTGCACTCTTAACACGCTGGATCTAGTCCAGTGATGCTCTTAAGCATATTCTTATTTCAAGCAATAGTTAAAAGCACTGAAATCAATTTGCTATAACAAGAAAACAACTGTTAGCTGAACATGCAGGAACAAGACAAGACAAAGTTACACACAGTAAAGACAAAGCAATTAAGGGAAAAAACTTTTCATCTGAAATGACAGGAAACTAAATCAAGGTCCAAATTCAAGGACTTCTGAAGTACTTGGAAAAACAGAATCTACTGCAGTCTACAGTACTGAAATAAGACCAGATTTGTGGGATTCAGGTCTCTTTAAAACATAAAAAAGTAGTAATTTGGTGGAGTGCCTTCTTCAGCACACAAAACAGTGAAAGCCCAATGAGAGTTATATCTTGTCAATTTTGATACTTTGAAGGGAGAAAAGAAGTCAAAATGACACAGAGGTTAAATCAGCGAAGATAAAAGGTAAGAAAGAACACAGTGAAGAGGGCTGGAATCTGATACATCTAACTTTGAGACATTTGATACACAGGCATGGGAGAAGTGTCAGAGATGGAAGGTTGTGGCCTTGGAAAATAGGCAAGTAAAATCGTCAGGGATGTTGGAAAACAGTCCAGAGGGAGTCAGAAACAAAAATTATATCTTTGAATCTGAACAGGTCTGAGGATGGCTGGATACTAAAGGAATCATCTGGAGACAGAACTATGGGAAAACCAGACTGGTGGTTTTCCAGTCTGGAAAACTGGATTTTTGAGGCATTCGAATTGGAAGTGTAATGCAATAAACTGGAGAGAGGGTGTTCAGATACCTGAAATTAGGAGATAAGAGGATGAAAAAAAGGACAAAGTATTACAAAACACAGTTAGGATGATGGGTGCTACTCTCTTAAAGACAGAGGGAAGAGAAACTTGGTTGCTAGTGAAGGAGAAAAGTCCTTCAATTAACAGAATGAGAAGCCTAAAATACACAGAAATAAAAGGGGCAAACTTGTATAGTTAAGAGGCAGAGAAGTTCAGTTCAGAAACAGATCCTTTAAATGAAGGATTACTTGGAAAAGGATCTTGTCATGCAAAAAATCAAGATTGAAGATTTTGTTTCAAGAATGAATGGAGAACTAAAATGAGCAGCAAATCTGCAAAGCAAGCTCAACAAGAAAAAAAAAGGATGAGAGTAGAGTGGTTAAAAAGTCCATTTGAGAAGAGAATTAAAGCAGGTAAGGCAAAGTAGAGTCCAAAGCTGTGTTGTAACGACATACTCTTCAGAGATATTCAGAAAAGCTGGAATGGAAATTAAGAAATTACAAGAAAAAAGTGTCTGGAGGGAGAAACGGAGACAGGACAATGTGAGAAGCAACCAAAGATACCATGTATAGAGAAGCAGATAGAGATGAAAACAAAGACCAGTGAGTCAAAAAAAGTGAGACCAATGAAGGAAGGAGACAGCTGAAAAGCTAAAGGAGTCAAAAAGGTTAATAGACTGGAGATCCCAAAAGGAGTGAGTGACAGGGTAAAGGAGAGAGAAAGACAGATAAGCTGAAAGGGAGCAGGTAGTGATCAGAGAAAGGGAATTTAGAAATGAGAGATAATAAAGTGAACAGTATTTAGTAAAGACAAGGTCATGGGAATGACTGAGGCAGTGAGAAAATCTGTCTGAAACTGGAAATCACAGGCATTGGGCTGGGAAAACAGGATGTAGAACAATGGAGTAAAATACTTATGGGGGGGGAGGCTTGCCCACGGAGAGGGATAAATTTTGAGAAGACAGAAATGGGTTGGGTTTAGCAAAGTTACAAAGAAAGAAGCAAACTAATGGCCACAAGGAAAACTAGACACAGAGGACTTCAACTCAGGAAAAGGGTTGAGCAGACAACAGGACTGATCAAGCAGAAGCAACAGAAGACAGGAGTTGTAAAACTTTGGAAGTGAATATGAAAGGAAAACACTTTTTAAAAAAAAGGCATGAACTGCAGAAAAAAATATTCAGGGAAGAGAGTCAAGTTTGAAAAACAAACTTAATCTGTATTTAAGTTATCTTCAGAAACATAAGTAGCACTCTGCTTGGCATGGCCAACACCTGTACTTCCCTACTTGGGTAATCTTGCCAGAAAGGTTTAGTTACTCACCCAGACCAAGCCAGAGATCAGAAATTCAGAAGACCAACACTGCTACTGTGTAGATGATCTGGGGGCATGGCTGGCTTGGAAAAGTTGTGACTGTTAAAGAAGTACCAAAAAGTGTGGAAAAATGTGATTTCCAGATTAAACAAACTCTGAAGGCCTTTGTTGATTCTCCCTCACATCAACCTCCTGTTCCTTAAAGCTCAAATACCCAATGCAGCATTCACCACCAGCATTCAAATTCAGCCATTAAGATTCTCATCTCGCTGTGTAACAGCAAAGATAAGCGATTAAGTAGACAGATTGTTGAAAACAAACATCACTGAGATTTTGGGTCCCATTCAGAGGTATCTGAGAACCACTGGCATAAGAAGTCCTTCTCCATTTCCAAGCCTCTGTCAAGAATTTCAGTCTATGGCTTTCTTAATCATGAGCATGAATAAAACACCAGCCTTCTCAGACACTTCTAATACTGTATTTCATCTTCTGGTACACTGGCATGTTTTTAAAGTTTCTGCTCATTACAAAAAGACGACACACTTCTATTGCCTGCTCATACAACTGGGAGCTGGATCATTAGAGTGCAACAGAAGAGGGGAAAAAACCCCCACATTATTCTCTGCTACCGAACCCGTGACATACAAAGAGTATAAAAAGTGAGCTGAGCATATAATTTCTATATAAACTGCTGATTGATATTTATTCACACGTGTAGATGAGGTTCACTCAAAATTACTGAAACTACATAAAACCCAGCCAACCTATAAACAAGAGCTCACAGGACTGGGGCCATAATGGGAGCTTGTTTTTATTTTCAGGCTTTACTATGTATTTTCACACGGCATGAAAACGATTTTAAATTTTAGATAAAAAACACTCCTTTGGGTTAATTGTGAATATACTGGATCTACTATTTTTTTAATAAACTTTTGACAAATAATACAAAAAAGATTTTTTTTTTAATTGTGATATCTTTGTTACAGTCAAGAAATCTCACCTGGAATCAACTACTGGAAGCAGTTGTGTTGTCCACAAGACAAGGTAGCATCTACTGTAACATAATATATATATATATATATCTCTGACAAGAAAAGCTTGAAAAAATATCATAGAAACACTATAATTTTTACATTGTATTTAATATTAGTACATTTTATTTGTATTAAGACTACCGCACAGCAGGGGAGTTTTCAAGACAAAAGAGATTTTATGCAATGTCAAAGAAAGCACAAAGTTCACTCCTGAAGCAAGTTAATACCAGAGCATCACTGAAATCAAAGGAGCAGCTAGTCCGACATCTTAGGTAGAAATGTAACACGTTTTCTTTAAAGAAAATAAACACATAATGACGTAGCTTAAAATAAATAGTGCCATATGTCATCATCAACATATGAAAAAGAGAATGGTCATTTATGAAAGAAAACATTTTATTAGCATGTAGGACACATGGGAGTGTTATAACAGACTTATCACTTTTACATGTTACCAGGTGCTTTACTTTAGGGATAGATTCGACAGTCCCCAGTTATGGAAGCAGTTGAATTAACCCACGTGGGTTTTTCAATTATAAAGCTTGGTACCAGAGTCATCTGTACCATTCGTTTTATAGATTTTAAATCAGGAACAACTATGTTTTTACCGCAACACAAGATTTAACCATAAACACTAACACCCCCTCCCCCCAAAATACTAAAAAAATTTAAATGCTTAAGCATGCACATTTGCTAACTCTGAACTCTTCATTTTTCTGCTCAACATATCCTTTCGGAGGGAGAAATATCTATTATTGGTTTCTTTCAGAAAAAGTTCAATACTTTATGCATAAGATTAGATACAAATAGTCTGACTGTGTTGAGGTTTTGGTTTTTTTTTTTTTCCCAGTGATTTTTAAATGTTCTAGGCCATTTCAGGAAAAAAAAAAAATTGTACGAGTACTCGTGCATATTAAGAGCTAATCCTGGCAGTCAAGCAAGTATTGTGCTGCCTTTTTCAATATAAAGCGTTTCATTCTATGACATATGAAATATAGTTACAGAATATAACCATTTTAAAAATTATATAATCAGATAATAAACAAAAAAAAAACCTAGAGGTTGTAAGACACAAACCAAGGTTGCTCAAATAGCTCTTCTCTACGAATTGCTCCACTCAAGTCCTACAAGATTAAGCACACACAGAGGTGAGAAGGAAAAATATGGTTTCATAGGTTTCATTCTACAAAATCTGGAAACAAAAATTTTAAAAATATATATTAAGATAAGCTCATGATCTGGCACATACTATTTAAAAGCTCCTGTATTTTGCCAAATACAATTTCCAATTGCAGTTTTAAAAAATACAAAAAACTGGAAACAACTCTGACCTAGATTGAACATTTCCTCCACAAAGTCCACAGACAGATTTTTATTCTTTGAGTATTATATTAAATAAAAAAATTAAAGCTGCACAGAGAAACAAACAAGAAAAAAAAATCTGAGCATGCAGGGAAATGACTGCATCTAGAACCTATACGTGTATGTACATACCGCTGCTTTTATTTGAACTAACTTCTTTTTACCCACATAAGGAAAAAGATTTAACTGATTGCAACAGCTCCTTAGCTGTTTTCACTGAAAAGAATGATGTTTAGACAGTTCTGTATAAAAAGTTCAGTCATGAAACTCTAGAAATTTCATTCAACTCTCCATTTTTGCCACATTTCAAAACAAGGCACATTCCATTCTTAGCAATAAAAATATTATTTATACATACTCAAAAAGGCACTAAGGTCTAACAAAAATATTCAGCATTTCCTTTTTAGCTAATAAAGTATTTGTAAGACAGTTTGCATATATATTTATTTCCCAGATGAAGGGCTGACAACTTTCTCTTAAGTGTAAAAGCTAAAATTCAATTTTGCTAAATATAAAACTAATTCTCAGGATACAGTATACAAAAATTACATATTTATGTAGAATACATTTTGTGTTATACTACATCATTGTATCTTTCACAAAAGATTTCTGTATTTAAAAAAAAAAAACAAACACTTTAAAATTTAAATACATTGTAAGGTCATTCAAATTATTTTAAACACAAAAATCTACAAAACAGTGACATATACACAAACAGTTGGGAAGTTGTAACCTAAAGATCACATCTTTTAATCAGACCCGCTCAAATGACAGCCTCAGAAGAACCCTCTTTGCTACTAGAAGCATCTGCATGGTTTTAAGACTTAGCTATGCAGACTCCTATTGCCCCAGGGTAGTGCTGCACAAGTCTATTCAAAGCGACCAGATTCATGAATCAACACCTTAAATTTTCCCAGAAAACCCCCAACAAGTGTTTTATGTGTATTATGACAGAAAAACAAAACAAAAAGGGATGTCACAAAAATTTCAGCACGACAAGTTTTCCCGAAAGTATCTTCCCATCGCACTTGGCAAGTGGAGAACTAATCCTATCACCTGTCTACTCTTACAGCAAGAACTGCAAACTACAATTCAATATAAAATACAATAACCTTCTGTAATAATTATGTTCTTCTTTTCAGAACAAAGATTAAAATAAAGTTAACTGTGCTGATTCATACTTTCCATAAATTACTATAAAGGTGAGAGATTCAGACATTTTGCTCCTGGATAATAAGCCTAATATCTGTATCATGTGCAAAAGTGCAACTGTGTTTTAGAACTGAGGCCCAACTGAATATAATTTTGTTATTACAGAAAATATACTTGAACCCACGTATCATGGAAAACAAGTGGTTCTCGGCATCTTAAAAATTACGCTTTACACATTTAAACCTGTTGTACAACTGCAAGTTAGTAAAAAAAAAAAAATACAAACGAAACCCCCAGAAATACACAGAAAACAACAAAGCTCGTGTATAAATCGGTTTACAATTCAAAGCACAACAGTAAGCTTCAAACAATTACATTTGTGTGGCACACAGAGGGGTGGGACGAGTTGTTTAAAGTACTTGGTTATCTCCGCTCTCTCTCTCCCTCCCGGTCTGGCGGCGGTTCAGCTGCTCGCCGTGTGTGCGTGCATACGTTTCGCTACATCGTACACGTAGGTGATGTCTGGCCGCTTCTCCGGATCCGGGTTGATGCACATGTTAACTAACTGTCGCAGCTGGGGAGGGGAAACAACATGACAGGATCGTTGGCCTCCTTACAAGCAGTACTTGTGCGTTATCTAACCCGAATTAATAAGACCGGCAAAAATTAGCCAAACAGTGGTTCTGCATAAGCACACCCTTCAACCCCCCCTCTCTTGCCACGCAGTTTTATGCAAGGATGTATGCACTGTGCTCCCAGGATCTTCACGTTTTGCACTGCTGTGCACAAAAACTGATGAGCTAATTTAAGTTCGAATCCTTTTAGCGTACAACTTCAGGCATGCAATTTAGTCCAATCGCACACAACCTACAGCAAATTCCCAATGTTTTGGGAGGGGTGTGCCTGCAAGCCTCAGAAGGCTGAGGTGAGGCAAATGAGGACTGCTTGCTCATTCACTCATACAAGAGTTAGCCAGCAATAAATGGCATTTCTGCGTGACAGGTTCCAAGGAACAAAAGGCAGCGGTTCTCCTTCTAACACACGGTTAACCCGCAGAACCTCCCGCTGCCAGGAGCTACCAAGGCGCGCACAGTCAGAAAGCAACTGAGCAAATTAAACCCACTGTGGGCTATTTGTTATAAAGACTTCACCCCTGAGGAAATTTCTGAACTTAAAACTGGAAGCTGGAGAAAAGTACATATTATATTGGCCCTGTTACTTCACTTGTCCACTGTTGAAGATACTATATTGGAATAAATAACCTTTGCTCTATATCCCGGTATTTATTCCTCAGGGTTAGATCATTTATTGTGTTGCTTATGGAAAGGATCTAATTAACAAATATGTTCACAAAAGCCTGGAAATAAAGAAATCACTGCAGTAGAAAAACCTCATGTTTCCACAAACAGCATAACTTAATGGGCCTTCTTAATGGACATATTCAGCAGAAGCAACCCCAAAGAGTTTCCCCACCACCCAGATACCTTTCATTGCCTTCACAAACTGGCAGGACAGCTGAAAGCTTTTCTTCCTCCATTTATACGCCCAAGAACTTATGACATTAGAATTTATATATTGCCTGGATAACCTTCTGATAGGGCATGTATTTTAAGTTGTGTGCAAGCCCTAAGTGTTTTTCAACATGGAAAATACCTCTTTCATGAAGACTTAACAAAATGTTTACAATCCTTTGCGAAAACAACCAACTCTGAAGCTCTTCCTTTATGCTTTTTAGTAGTTTCGCCAAATCCTGCTGGATCTCCTTATAGCATTAGGAACAGGTAGAGAGGGAGAATGACACTCCAAACAACACATTGTGATCCACCCTTCTACGTCAAATTTGGTTTGATCTCCCATGCAGTACTGTTACGTACATTTATTGAAAAAAGGTCTATAATTATTGCAACTAACACAGAGCAACCTCATCATCCTGAGTATTCAAAAGTAACACAGGCTGCCTTTTCAAACCTGCCATCAGAGAGCTTTCTTCCTAGCTTTTATAAAAAGACCAAGAAGGATTTTAAGTTATAAGTCTACTCCTTTCACTTTTCAAAAGATTAATTTAAATGCATGGAAATAGGAATTCCTGAAGTTAAGGAAGAAGCATTGCACAGCACTGTATAAAGCTTTGTCCATTTAGCCCTTGTGGATACAAGGGTACAGGGATTTTGTACTTAACAACACAAAAACTATGTCATTGGACATCCCTACTCCATGGCAGAAAGAGCTTAATATTTAAAAATTGGAACATTAATTCTGAAGATAGCGGTCAGTTTGCTGGATTGAAAAGAAACATATTAAATCAAAATAATCTGTAGCAGACTTGCTATTTGAATCTTAACTATCTTAAATACATTTTGACTAATGGAGTTATAAAAGCCATCAAATTGCTTCTGGCAGTCAGTAAATAAAATACAGTGCCAATGACAAGAAAAAGTATTAGCCTGTAATAACTCACAAATATTTGAAGAATGATAGAAATCATTAGCTACTGTAAGAAATAATAATTTCCAGCATGTAATACAAATATGCAAAGCAAAATAGTGTCCTGCAGAAGAAGCAGGTGGGACAGAGTGTAAGCAGGAGGTACAAGTGCACTAGCAGGGACGAGCAGCTTGCTATGTAACACCTCAGACAGCCTGCATGGAAAACAGCAGAGACTGAAGAACATGCAAAACCCTCAAGCCTGAAATTAAGAGTCAAATAAGCAAACGTTTTGTAAAGAGAATACAGGTGTAATTTAGCTGCAATATACAACATCTGATCTTGAACGTATACATTTCTCTTTCTCTGTGAAGACTTCCATCTGTTCAACAGAACTGCATACAGTAAATAGTCTTTGTAAGCATCCTTGAGGGACTGAAACCTATACAGCTAGCATCAGAGGGGAATCGGAGTATTCTTTCTCCTGTTTTTCCCCATTGTCTCTGAATAACTTCACTGCATGTAGAACAGAAAAAACAGATCTTCAAGAGACTTAACCTGTTAACGAGAAGCCTTGTTTGCCTCCAATAGACTAGTTCATGTCTTTCTAATTCTTCTCTCAGATTTTATTTTCTAAACTGAACTTTATAATCTAAAACCCAATTTCAGACTCAAACTGCTTAAGTCACTGAACAGTAAGCCTTCCTTCAGAGTTACTTTTGTTCTTGTTACAGAATATTATAATTCCAAGCTGCAATAAAGTGGTCAAGAAGATTGATTGCTTAGAAAGACAGTGAAGCAAAATGGCATCATTACTCAGAAGTACATGTAAGACTTTAGGTCCTATTAATCCCTGTAGATACACTTGGAAAAAAAAAAATCATTCACCCACATGGTGTATTGACTGGTGGCTTTTTACAGCTTATTTTTTCTCTCACTGAAATGCATACATAGCTACCCTTGATAGAACGCAAGAAAGAATACACAAGAATCAGTTTACTCAGAAATTCTCTTCCCAACATAACTGGTGAGCTCCTTTAGCGACAAACCTTCACTAGTGCTGTAATAAAGTAAACCCTGGGGTCACAGACCTCTTAAAATGGTAGTCACTGCAATTACTGCAAAATCTCTGTCCCCTCCTCCCCTAGAGTGTCCAGAATCTCACTCAGTAAGGTCAGAATGCTGAGCTGACTGTGCTTGGGACAGTGCACAACAATAAGTGCATATTCCTGAGTAATTTCAAAATCCATGAGTTCTTTTGAGGCTTGTAATTGAACAGTAAACCCTTGGAAGAAGGTGAATAAATTTTGCTGTACAGGACAAAAATAGTTACATGGGAAGACAGTCTTTTGGGACTGAAACTGGGGCCATGTTGGATACTAATACTGGCTTATTAGCATTATTCCTTTGCTCCTACAGCAATATCCATTTCAATAAACCTGAAATCCATGTCAGCCCCTCTAGTATTAATAAAATTTCCGATGCATCAGAAAAGCTCACCAGTATCATGGGAAGAGGCACTGGGATTCTAAAGTCAGACCATCATTAGAGATGGGAGTAGTTTTTTATTACCTGGCACAGACTGTCCAACAGGCAGAGCAGACTTACGACTGAACTAGAGGGACCTCCTGTTGCATCCCCAAGCTGCAAACTTCTTTGGCTGCTTACTGTTCTTAACCTCCTCTGTGCACTTAGCACAGTGACTGTCTTTAGCCTGGAGCTTAGCCTGACACTGGAGCAGTGGGACACACTTCCTTTAACTTCAGCAGGCTTTTCAGCTATGAAATAAATAATTATCAGACAAGTCAGAAGGAAAGACAGAAATATGACAGGCAAGTACTTTGCATTGCTAGCTAGCTGAAAAAAGAAATTTTCATACAGGGAATTCTGGATGAAAAAAAAACCCACAAGATTATTCTTGCTCTGAATAAGAGACCTTCTTGAAGCCTTTTCTGAGTGCTTTTCTCAAGACCTTCTGCTGGCAACTAACACTATCATCATGCTGGCTCATTCAGCTTTCACACCTGGGTAGGAGGTCAGAAAACGGACTTTAGAAGAAATGCACCTCAATCTAAGGGAAGATTTTAAAACTTAATCATGAAAGCAGTGTGATATTAATATTGGCTGACAAGATTTTAGGAGTATTGACTGGGGGTGGCAAGGGAGCCCCAGTTTTGAATTCCCTAAAGCAGAACAGCTTTCAGTAAATGCTGAATACTCCCTCTGAATACCAGATGTTTTTAACAGATATTAAAAAATTGAGATATCCAGAGTTATTAAGCATCTGAAAGTTTTGGCTTGTGTCTCTACCACTGAAGCAATAGTTTGTGAAAATGCATCTTAGACTATTAGAATTTTTAATCAAAGGTTTTCTAAAAAAAATACCCATCTGTCCATCTAAAGGTGCATCTTTCTGTCACACTATTCTCTAATGACACAGATGTGACACATTACCAACAGGTTGGTCTTGTAGAGGATTCAAAATTTAGAAAAAATGTCACATCTTAAAACTCACTAAAATTTACTTACAAAAAGTTTCTCAGAAAAGCACTTGTCTTATATTTCATAATGAAAGTATTTACACTCCCATATTAAAGGATGCAGAAATCAACACTGAGTGAAATTTTTCCTTCAAAGAATCTTGGTCATAAAAAACAAAGTGGGCTTTACTGATCAGTGAACCCTTATCTTTACTGATCACTGAGTGTGCTTCTGACCTGGTTAAAGGTTTGACATTTAAATTTCTAGTACAGGTGAAACATTTAGGACAGTATCCTAATATGACAGATAACACTTGTTTCTCTTGTTTTAGAGTTCTTGCCAGTATTTTTTCATACAAGTAAAAAAAGGTCTATTTTGGTGCAATAGCTAATAAATGTGTTTTCGACGTACCTTAGTGAAGGCACAAGTCTTCATATCAGAACATAATGTTCCCATTACAGCTTCCATAGCTCATGACTTCCTTTAAGTAACTATTTTCTTACTTATCTTGATACCTATAATTGCTCTGATTCTTTCATTATCTTTCAAAACAACTTATATGTATTCTGCAAATAACTGGTTTATCCACCGTGCAGAAGTAGGTCTGCTTTGAAATAAACAGAAAGTAACGTGTTGTGCTTTGCGTGTGTTTGCAGCACGAGAAACTACACAGATGTAAGGAAAAGGTGGAATCTCTTTCCCCATCCAAACCCTGAGACCTTCTATCTGGGCCAGACTTTGATATTTGCCCCTTGGCTGGGAATCCACATCTCCAACTTCACACTTAGCTGCAGCGAAGTAGCCCTGCAGGCAGGCCAACTTCAACGAACCACTAGTGGTATCATCATTAAAATCCTGCTGAAGGTCACCATGGAAACCGCCTGCTGAGGCTTCGCTGCTGCACTCGGCATCTCCTAATCAGCTACCATGTGAAATGCAAATTCAGACAGTCTGAAAATTAGTCAAGAAGAATAGAGGATGAGGATGCAGATATGTGAAATATTCATGCGCTTCATGGAAAAAGGAAGACAGCATGAATGACACAACAAAGAACGGCCCCTGACATTCTTGCTATCATTTTGCATTATTGTTCACACCCTACTGTATTTCTAGGCCTCCAGTTCTGAAGTTGGTTATATGAACTGCCATATTTATAGTCTACAATAAATAATAATTAAAAACGGCCAAGGTAAAATAACTAATTGGAAAACCCACAAAGAGGCATAGTGTATAAATTACACAATAGATCGCTATTTCATCCTCTGTAACATCACCCAATTATCTTTTTAAGTCCAGTTTGTTTCATAAAAGGGGAAAAATTGTCACTATAAATACAAAACAAAACACTGAGCAGTAATCTTTTATTAATAGTCCAATCACTGTCTTTGAATGCAGGAAAATGTAAGGTTCAGAATTAGAAATCCCTACTCTATAAATGAAATTGCATAATGTTTTATGTTTATTTGCTTTTTCAAAGTAATCTTTAATTCATGTAGGCTCAATTCAATTAGAATTGGTTACTAATACCTGTTCTCTGGTTTACAGCTTCTCTCAGTTTGCCCTGTTCTTTTCAAACTGGGGAAGTATTTCAAAACTGGCATCTCAGAACATTAACAAGCCAGTGTTTATATTTTCCCATTCTGTTACACTAAGAAAGGTATTTATTTTGTTTAGTTTCTTTTCATTTTATAGCTAAAAAAAATATTCCCCCTTAAATGCACTAATGACAGTAAGAACTGTTACCCATCAACTTAAAACAAACACTGTTGCGATATGCATGAGTATATTGCTCAAATTCAGTTATATTATGTCTGCCTATACTTCTCTGAAATTTACTGTTAGTGTTATCAAGAACCACTATTTCTTGCAAAAGAACTGCCATTCAACAGTATTGAACAGCACACTGCAGTTTTATAATGCAGGCAAATGGGAACTAAACAATTCATTTTTACTAGCGAGTTACATTATATCTATTTTAATGCAGGCCCCCAGAGAACCAAGGCCAGTGCACTAATTTACTGTGCAAAATAAACTTGTTGTGCTTTTAGAAAAGCATCCTATGGATGTAAGACTCCATCCCATTCTGGCATGTGGAACACACATCATTGTGCATTCTGGGAAAGCCTTCTGTCATACTTGCAAGGAAGCCCAATGAAATTAAGAATCTAACGGTGTGACGTTTCCATCATTAATAGTCTCAAATATAAATCATATGAGAGACTTGTTTTGACAGTAACATTTGAGTGAGTTCAACAAGCAAACACTTATGGGCATAATCTGCAAATAACATAAAATCACACAAGTTCATTTGTTTCCTGGAAGCCTGCCAGCTTACATAAACTGAGGATCCAGCCCATTAAAAGGAAAATTACTTACTTCCTCTGAATAGTGATCTGAAGGGAGAGGTGGGTAGTCACACTGTTCTATCTTCTTGCACAGAGAGTACAAGTTCATTTTATCACCATAAAAGGGACTCTGCAGGGCAGCCATCTGTTTAAAGAAAATGGACAGTTTTCTTTTGTGTTTTTCTATGTAAATCTATTTTGTCATAAAACCCGTAATACTAACAAATCAAAAGTGATTCTTCATGACTTTCGATTCCCTGCTTAGATAAAGTGTTACAGTGCTAAAAACAGAAGTTCCAAAACTACTAGTGTAACCAGTGTGTGTACTCATTCTGTGTCGTACAGTCACAGCTATCATAGTCCTTACAGTGCAATACTTGAGTTGCACACCATTAGGGTTTTATTAATCGAGTATGAAGAAAAATCCAGTTGTTCGCAATAGTGCTGTGAGCGTGGAGGGTCCCTGCACCACGAGGGAGACCAAAAAAAACCCGAAAATATACTTTTCCTCTGAAAAACTTTTGGAAGAAAACATGACTTGTATGAAAACATTATCTGACCCAAAGCAGTGCAGTGTGTAGAAAATGCTGGGTAACCATTCCATAGCCATGACACTAGACTGCCATATAGCTAGGGTTTTTTTCAAGCAAGAAAACACTATCATCTACACTTTAAAAAAAAAAAAAAAAAGACCAAAAAACTTCATAGTCCAGTATGTTATTCAAAAAGATGCTTGGAAAAAAAAAAATCCCAAAACTTCATCAGAAGTCCAGAACTGGCACCTACAGCTATAATTTACAATTAAAATATAAAAATGAAAAAGTCTGTTGCAGAGCACTTACATAAAATAACAGCTCAAAACCAGCATTAGTGAACCTACCCTTTATTTCCAGACAATGTTGCAACTTGACAATTAAGGTGGAAACAACAAATGCTATGGTTAGCTGCATTAGAAATATAAAAATTCATTTAAAACCTCTCCATTTCGTTCAAAACCTTCGAAATCTTTTAACTGCAGCAGCATGAATGCTGCTCTGAGTGCAGAGCTGCCCCAAAGTCAGTCACCCTTTTCTACATGTGCTAATAAGTTTGATTTTGGAAGGACAATGTGTACATTCCCCAGACAGGCAGAGTGTGTGTGAAACACGCTAGTCCATGCTGTGCTACTCAGTGAGCTTCAGCAGGGACAGGACAAGCTGAAAATGGCTCTCATCTGTCTTGTGGTCTTCCAGATAGCAGTTTAACTCTTTCGTGTCTAAGCACCAATATCACTGAGGGAAACGTAGGAAGAAAATTACCAAAATTCTCTTACGTTTACTTTGTGTCTGATTAAAATGCCCTCAAATAGTTCAGTACTTTTTCATATTACCTTCAAGTAAGGACAAAAAAATTGTAAAGCTCCCAAGACAAATATGATGCTACAGTTCCATCCTAAACTCCTCCCAAAAATTCTGTAAACGTATTACCAAAGTAACATTCATTTCTGGATTTACATGACATTGTCTCTTACCTTAAAAAGAATGTTAGAAATGCAAGCTAAAGACCAAAAAAGAAAAGAAAGGGGGGGACAAAAAGAAAAATCAACTGCAGGGTCTGTACACATGCAGAAATTCTAAATAAATGCACAGATACTCATTTTCGTACTCTAGGTGTTCATTAAAAAGTACTTTTGTTTGAACGCTGCCGAGTGTTAAAAAAAAAATTCTGAATGTCCCCTAAGGAGTTAAAACAGGAATACTATATTTTCATGCATCTCCTGCTTTGACAGATGAAAAATGTCAACTGTCCTGTTTTTATTTTCAAGCTTTTGCACTATTCATCTGGTTCATTAGTGCATCTCGCTGCTGCCCCTGACAGCTGCTCGCCCTCTCCTCCCAGCAGCTGAATTTTTCAGGCTAATTTGATCCTCCACACTGAGACGATCACTAGAATGATTGACTTGCTCCCTGACCTCCAGGGTCTGACTTTCCTGATTAGTATTCTGGGGGTGTCTGAGGGACGAAAGCCCACTGTCTGTCTTCGGGGCTGGTGGCAGCTCGCTCTCTCTCTTTTTTTTTTCCTCTTTCTTTTTTTTTTTTTTTTTTTTGAACTGTAAGCCACCAACCTACAACCCTGTAAGGATGCAATTGCTACGCTGAACAATAAAAGGAAATGTGTAAGACCTACTTTTCCATGTAAAGGTCCGTGTAGCAAAAGCACAGCATCTTGATTTTAATTAGTAAAGTCTACTTTGTTGCATATCAATTAAAACTCCAGAGGTAGTGTTTTTGAGGCTTCAGAAATACCTGGGGCTCTAAAAAATTCAGACTTTAAAACACCTCTAACATTCTTATTGGCTGCACAGCATTGAATAATACATTGTAATATGTATTAGAAATAATAATTTTTAAAAACAACACACATTATAGCAAGTTAGTCTAAAATTAAAACATAACTGGAAAGAGTTTAGCAGCAATTAAGCATTTCTTGAGACGTGACAAATCTGCCACAGTTTTTTTCCTCCTATTAACCTGGAGACAATCCAGAGTACATATGAACACATATCACCATCAAATCAACATAATAAAACATGCTCAAATGCAGGCAATGGACATATCACAAAAAGACACCAAGCACAACTGCAGCTAAAATGAATATGATGCATTAGTCCACACAAGTCTTGGAAGAACCTCAAGTAACCACTTTCAAATAATTTTTTAAAAATTATTATACTGAGAAAAATGCTGAGCATGTATTTTGAGTTTGCTATACCTAAAATTTCAAAATTACATTTCAGTGCTCTACGAAAAGCTCAACAACAAAATCACAAACATTTGGTATGCTGCAGAATTAACTAAATGGGATAACTGCACCTCTAAAAAAATTTAAAAGCTATAATTGAAGACATTGCCATATACTGTAGCTACATATCAACAATAAGGGTCTTAATAACTACTTTATATTTACAATAAGGAAAACAAATACCATCACACCAACTTCAATACCATCCTGTTAAAACTTCTAAACTGAATCTAAGGAGAATGGTATTTCAAGATGCTGAGCCAATCAATGGAATTAAGGTATTTAGCTATTTTGAGATTATTTACCAGATCAAACAAAAATTTAATATTCACACAGGTGTTTAATATACTGTACCAGCATGAAGGCAGGAAGCTTAAAAAAAAAAAATAATCTTTAAAAAAGTGCTACTGATTTCTGTCCAGCAATTTAATTTCCTATAACACAAAAGAAAATTAACCTTAAAGCATATTTTTTTTACATAATGATTTCTTACTCAAAGGTTTTCTTTTTCTGCTTCCAGATTTAAAAATTCCTCAGGAAAACCAGTGAGTGGCAAAGAAGCAGAAATTCTGAAAAACGCTCATCTACCTTTGTGTTACCTTTGGGCTTGTGCAAAAGTGGACAGCAAAGCACTGAAACTGATGGCAGCTGCCATGGTCAGCACTGAGGAATTCCAATACAGGATTAGGTTTTAGTTCAGAACTTCAACTTCTAAATGCTATCAGCTATGAGACATCATTCCTATGAATCATCCCCAAGGTTTAGAAGCAACAGCTATACATAGATCTGCAAACTGCACAACTGCAATATTTGCTCTTAATATTCTAAGCAGCATGCCAGTGATAGAATGTAAATGAATATTACTGGAGACAATTCACTAGTAGTAACACACAACTTTAACAGGCTGACAGTGTCTTCTACAAATTCCTAAAATAAACAGGAGGTGCTGATACTGTTAAGTATGTGTTAAATGAGTTCCCCCAACTCATGGAGGCAGGTGGCTTTCAGGTAAACAAAAAGTGTATGACTTGAGTATATTAGTTTTTACCTGGAAGATGACTAGGAAGGTTTCACTGCCATTGTTGATGGAAGCAAATTTTTTTCCAGCATCCTTCAACACAAGTGTTTACTCTTCAGATCGAGAAATTATATGCAAAGATCTTGGAAGACATAATTGCCTTGGAAGCCTACCTGTTTTTAACACCTTCATTTGCCTCAATTTCAATTTGCCCTGTATCTTTATTTTCTAAGAATATAATATTATTTAAAAGTACCTACCAATCTTGAATGTAGAAGTACAGAAATTAAACACTAAATGCAGTTTAACCAATTTTACAAAAATAGAAAAGTTATATATGTCTGTGCAGCAGAACTCATTATCTTGAGAGACAGGAGTAATAACTAAACATTTTCTGTTGTTTTACTTAGGTTTTAGATATTAATAAAAACAAGAAAATTTATAAAAATTAGAAATTTGTATAAAAGTAACTTTTTTCAAAGGATCTATCGTAAGAACACAGAAATTTTATATGTGCTTATTATTTATTTATATTCATTTATTAATGCTTCATTTATATTCATTTATTAATCCTACAGTTAAGCCAAATCTTCACCAAATCGCTGCAATATCTTGTAGCAAGCCCAGCAAAAGGCAAGTCTCAAGTTACACACACATAAAAGTATTCCATACACTGAAGTTACGTAAGGGGAGTGGAGTGGAAGGGGGAAGTACAAGAGTGATATTAAGTTCACTGTATATATCAATATTACCTCATACAGCAGACAGCCTAGAGACCAGATGTCAGATTTGAAGTTGTAACCATTTTCATGTATCCTCTCTGGAGACATATAATAAGGTGTACCAACTGCAATAAACACAGAAGTATTTCTGAATGAAAATTTCTGTTGTTACACAGTAGTAAAATTACAGTTTTCCTGGTTGAAAAATATTTTTCATCTTCTATTTCTCATTTTGCCACACATATAATTTCAAGTCGTATTTATGACACTTCAGTTTGACAGAAATACATGAATTCGATATCTGTTTCATCCAATGCAGCTTTATTTCCACTACTGATACCTCATTACTGGAACTATTCAGTTGTAAAATACTTCCAATTTTTGCCTTTAGAGAAGCTCAAAAGTAATTAGTTTCTCTTGAAGAGAACCCAGGGAACATACTAAACACACACAGACACATCCCTGCTTCTGTTCCAAGCTGTTATCACTAGCTAGAAACAACAGCTAGAAATTCTCTTCCATGGGTTGAATTTCATTATTTGTTTTGCAAGTTGTCTGTTCTTCCTTCTGAGAATAAAAATCTGGAAAAGCCGCTTTTGAGACTAATAAACAATTTAGTTTGAATAGCTGGAATTAAAACTGAGCCTGAAATCCAGGACGTTCAGAGATAAAGGCAGGGAAACCTGTGAACCCAGCAGAGGTTGATGTTCCCATAAGTGACTCAGCCTTTTGCTACAGGACTCAACTCCATGAGGGCTTTTCAGCTCCCAAACCTGTGCCTGTCCCAGCTTAATCCTGTCTGAGAGCTGTGGGCTCTGGAGACATTTGCTCTTGATAAGCAGCATTTACTAGGGCTGCCCCCGAGTAAATTTACATTGGATACTCCAGGACATCTCTCCCTTTGATTTTAATCAAACTCTGCCCATCTTTACTAATTGGAAGAGAAAAATTCTGAGAGATGTTTCAGCTCTGTAAAAAAAAAACACCATTACAGAAAAAAAAAATCTTAGTGATCTGTTCTTAAATGACTGGGCAACAAAAAAAAGTAGTTATGAAAAATAAGGATAGTAGTAATTTTGGTGCGTTGTTTTTAAACTTTCTCCCTATATCCCCCAAAATGACTGCCTAACAGCAAAGAGTCACAGATCTATGTAGAATTTCACTTCAATTTTGTTTGGAATATTTTCTTCAGCACTGAATCCTGACGATGAAAACCAGCTGAATTCTGCCAATTCAATGTTAAGTTGATTTTATTTGGCAACCAAACACCTTGCAACACCAGAGATTAAAATTGGCACACTCAATATAAGCTACAAAAATTAAGAGTATGAAGCTCACAGTACTTCATTTAACACAAAGATCTTGCAACACTTCTACACTTCTGAATAGATGAAGCTAATTCAGAATTGAGCTCTGTACCAATGTTAGAAATGGAGATACAGTGAACACAAGTAATTCCACATGTGAGTAATCAGGTTAATAATTTCAAAGTATCAGATAGATAATTTTACTCTAATCATTTCCAAACATTTTTTTTGCTCTGACAAGGTGCCTTACCTTTTTAGGGAGTTAAGGAGGAGGGAGAAGTACTTTCCTACTTGAAAGGCCCAGCTCAGACAGGGAAACCCTCTACCCACCTTATCTCAGGTCAGGCCACTGCTGCTGGTAACCCGTAATTTCAACTGATGTCTGTCTCGGTAGACAATACTGAAAGTGCATAGAAACTGAGAATGCGCTTCTGTAACGTAGTAGGTAAGGACAGAGGTCCCCAGATTGTACCCTACAATGGATCTGTCCCGCTGAATATTTTGGGGGAGACTTCTAGCCCTTGGAAAGCAGAAACTTTGCAGCCCCTCTCCTTCGGTGCCGGTCTGAGGAATCACTGCAGCTCTGTACTGAGACGGCAAGTGATCAAGAGCTTAAAAGGAGAAAGGTTGGGGAAAGGCAACTCAAAATAATGGATTACTGCAGGAGACATTTAGTCTCATGGGATATTTGTGTTCACTCAAGAGAGGAATGGTCAAGAGCAATGGTTCTTTCCCTGGGAAGGAATACACAGGCAGATGGGTAGACCACAACAAAATAACTACCAGAATATCCAAAGCAGCTCTGCTTTCTAATGTATCAACAGCAGTACTTTAAAGGGTGTTTAATGACAGATATCTTAACATTGGAAACTGTAATTAAACAACATTTGGCATGACACAGCTTTCATATTTTCATTACTGTTTTTTCATATTTTCATTACTGTTTTACTTCCGTCTTGCATTTATTTTCTTTAACACCCCAAGGACTTGTGAGCTTGAATACCTCTGAGAAATTGCAGCTGCATTTTGCACCCATTAATTAAGGCACTGGTTTCATATATTGTGGTGCTTTGTTGGCAGAATTTGTCTAACAACAAAAAAATAGGTTTAATAATAATCTGGTTGTTCACTGGTTCCAGCAGCAGTGCCTTTGCTGCTCTGAGATATCACACAAGTAGCTGGCAGTGAGTAATGTGCTAGAAAGAGGCTTCACAGAAACCACAGGGGGCAGCTGAAAACATAGAGGTTTGAAGGTTCATAGTCTACCAAAAGCAAAGGTAATTTTAACCAGTAGCTCTGGGAAGCCTGCTGATACATTAGGGGTCTGATATGACTGTGAAAGATTGATGATAGTGAAAAGAAAGAACAAATGTTACCATTTTACAGCGTTTAGCCTAGTGTAACACCTTCACTGCAATACAGCCTGAAGCCCCTGATGACCAACTAGTGAAAGGAACTGAAATTACCTATGTTAGTCATGGAATCACAAAAACAACTAGAAGATTCAGACATCATTACTACTTGTAAGCTGTTTTTTAACAGAACATGACACCAAAGATTCATAATTCTGACATTCAGGAGCTACTGAAAGCACCGCAATGATCCTTTTAACACAGTGAGCAATCTAGGGACATGGCTGTGCTGCTAGCAAGCAACTACCACTTGCAATTACACATTAGGTTTCCTTCCTGGATTGTTTTTTTCTGGTAAGTGAAATACAGCACCCCAACAGCATAGAGATAGGCAACTTCCTGACTTCCTTTACTCATCTTAAGTTACAGAAGTGGGATAATACAAGAAAAAGACATAACCGATTGAGGTGCCTAATTTTTTTAAGACGAAAAATCGGTAACTTTAGTGTTCCCTTCCCCACATTTGCACATCTCTGACAATCTGCAGGTCTGAAGAGTAAACTCCTTTGAAACAGCTGGGGTCAAATACACTGCTTCCTCTGAATCTGCTGCTGCTCTGGAGCTCCCTCCCTTAAAGATACTGTAGGTCCAGAAAGTGTTGATTCTACATGCAAACTTTCTGCTGTTGGGAGAGGGAATGGATATAATGGAAATGGTGGCAAATAGAGAGCAGGAAGTTAGATTTGAAGGCTCGGAGGCAAAGAAATCTCTTATGAAGAAAGGAGTTATGATATAAACAATCTACCTTATTACCTGCATAAACACATAATTCACACTACTGAGTTACAGAGTGTGTTCACTTAAAAACTGAGTGCATCAATGAGTGCAATGAAATGCAGTAAATTGCTCTAAATACTATCAAGCTGGGGGAAAAATCTGCCTGGAAAATGTTAAACCTATTCATACAAAACAATGTAATGGCTGACTCAGAAGGGGTTTATCAGCCTATAGCTTTAAAAAAGGCCAACCACTGACACAACAAATTCTCTAAGACGTGGCACTTCACAAGGTGGTTTAGTGGGCATGGTGAAGGCTGGGCTTAAGGGTCTCTGAGATCCTTTCCAACCGTAATGATTCTATAATGTTGAGGGTTTGGGGCATGTTTAATACAGGCATAGGAGACTTCCAAGTCAAGGGTTCGTCTTCAGCTACAGATACAGGACCTAAAATACCACACTTATCCAAAGTAATTCTGCAACCGAGCCCACATTATGCAAATATTTTAACTATAGAAGTCTATCTATAAATATCTTGGGTTATTTTATAATGGAGCATTGTAACAGCACAACAATTTATCTTCAGCTTTCAAACTACTGTAAGAGTAGTACTCTGTACATAAAATAAGAGCTGTTTTAATACAGCTTCTTTGATGACTGCAATAATCTGCTGCAGATTTCCCTGTCAGCCTTCCAGTACACTGAGGGTGCAGGTTCTCAGAAGGGTTTGGTATCAAAGTGGAGTTTATTCACGGAATGGTGTCACACACCACCACCTCAGCACACCCTCTGCTGGGTTAGAAATCCACACACAGGAGAAAAGAAGCGTATTTGCACATATTTTCATGAGGTATTTTATTCCCTACAATCTTCATGAGTTTATAGTTAAACCCTCACAATGCAGCTCTTGGAAATGACAGAAGTTGTCAAAGCAAGAAGAAACACCAGAATTCAATACAGATGATCCTTTGCTTTCAAGCATTTTAAGAAAATTGCAGATCTGCTACTTTGCCTCGCAAGAAGGTATTGAAATCCTGGTGGCAGTGCCTGCCTGGACAGCACACTGTGCAGCCTTATAGCACAACCACAGCAGAGAACTGAAGTGATTCTTTCTGTAATTGAAATACTGACATATGGACTATTTTTACATCCACTGAATGGGCTAAAAAAGGATGGTTGCATGTTTCCATGAGCTGGCCTTAGAACTGCCACGTCTCTGAAAAGTGTAAGACCTGGCCTTCAGCCATTAAAACAACAACTACAAAAAAACCCCAGAGTCATAGGGAAAGGAATATGAAGCCTTTGTTGAACCATATTCCCCTTTCTAATATAAATTCTGCTGAAAACAAGAAATTCTGTCAAGTTTGTATGCAATCAACAGTACCAAACCTCCTTTCCCTTTGCACCTTTGGAAGAAAGGTTTCCTATTTTCTAAGAGGTATAGACTTGACACAATTGAAAAATCTACATCTTGATAAGGCTGTATAGAAAGAGTTAAGAATATGAACAAACCCTGTCCAGCACAGTTCATCTGTTTCAAATGGACCATCAGTATGTATTCTAATTAAATCAGTATTATTCATAATTAGCAGTTAGAAGCTGTACCTAATTAAAATTTTAGTACATTTCTTTATCTCTGAAAGCCTGAATCTAGTTTGCTACTGAAATTTTTATAAAGCCTGTAAACAAGTATAAATTGCTACACATATGTTTGTAATTCACTGGGTTTTGTGCACTAAAGGTTTATAGAATCATAAAAAGGTACAACTTTGAAGGAAATTTCAAGAAAACGAGTATCAGAAACTGCACAAGAAATTAATTTTATGAAGTGGTCTCTGCTAGTGACATGATAAATCAGAAAGTCACTGTCTCCCCTGTAGCCCAAGTTAACAGCTTGAACAAACCTTTTTCCCAGGTTGAATTCTGACATTAGGTCATAATTAAGAGTGAAATGGGAAAAGAGGAGACAGGGAAAAAAGAATATAAAAAATAGCAGCTCCTCCACCAGGACACAGCACCCAACACTAGAAACAAAGCTGCCATCCCCCCACCCCCTGCTCCCTGGATGATTCTTGATCTGTAAAAGATGAGCTTTAAAGGGCTTGGGGGTTTTACACTGTTTTTAACTCTGGCTCAGTCTTCAGCTTTTTCAACTTGCAGCTCAATCTTTGCAACCATTCCCCTGCCACAAGCCACAACAATCCAGGGCTGAGGTAGTTTGTTCCTCTTTAACTTCCTGACTTCTGCCTCAGAACACAGGTCTAACTCTCCCACCCTCACTGCTGACTTATGCCTTTTTTGTGAGCTCCTAATCCACAGATTAGGATTTGCATCTCCCTCTTCACATCCCTTGTCCATTTGCAGGCAGCAGCAGGACCCAACTACAGGTTGATCTCCACGGTGCCACCAGAGATGGGCTCTGGGTTATGAGGGCAGCACGAACAGCAGCACTTGAGATAAAACCCTGCCACGTGCTCACATCAGATCTTCAGTATGGAACTCAAGCACTTTTCCAGTCTGGTCTCACCACTTTGCTGTCTCCCCCTCTCTCTTTTTTTTTATTGATGCAAGATTGCTCATCTGTGTCTGAGGTTCACCTCAGTCCAGTTCCTGCTTTTGACTCTGGCAGTACAAGGATGCAGCAAACGTGGTAAAAAACCAGGAAGGCACAAAGGACTGACAAAAGGCTTTCTGGAACACAGGGAAGTAAAAATCAAAAGTTTCCCTTCTAAAATATTTTTTGGGGCTGTTAACACAGGTATCACCCACATCTCAAATGTGGTACAAACACACTATCAGCAATCCTCTCTTCATCCATGTTCTACTGGTAACTGGGAAAATCTAAAGCTAAATTAAGAGATGAGGATAAATATGGCATATTTTAATCTGAGAAGCCTTCTATTTCATAATCTAATTAGAAAGATCAGTATCTGAGCAAAAACAATTCTTTGTGTGTCCTCCCATGGCTCTAACATAGGCACTGTAAGTATTACTTTATCATTTTTAGGAAACACTTGTTCAGAGGCAGAAATATATATTAGATGATTCAAACAAAGTGGGGAGAAAACCCAGTGAGCCGTAGTGATGAAAGTAGTGCCTCAGTGTTACAGCTTTTCTGTATTTGTCCATGGTGCTGACCATTTCTTTATTATTATTATTTAAGAAGACCTTTATGACCACATTTTTACTAGTGTTTAAGAACAATACAATGGATGTAACTGTTTTCTTCCTCCTCTTGAATGGGCACAGTATTTCCACCATGTAAAAAAAAACCAAACATCTACCTGTCCAACACCTGTACCTCAGAGAAAACTTACCTAAAGAATGTGCAGCTGTTGTTTTGGAGCTGAAAAATCGACCAAGTCCAAGGTCTCCAAGCTTTACCACTCCTGTAGCTGTAATGAACACGTTTGCTGGCTTTATATCTGAAAGAAAAACAAATTAAATTTAAAAGTCACAGTAAGGTTGCAAGAAGAGCTACTGCTCTAATAATAGACCGAAAGAGGATTTTATTTCCCGCTACTGTTGGTAAAATTTAATGGTGCTGTTCAGAAAGAATGAATCTGAAATTTAGAACTTCAACTACTTTAATAGTGCAAACATCACTCAAGCAAGAAAATCAAGATCCATGGAAAATATTTTTAAAAAAACTCAAGCAAACAAACAAAACAAAACCCCCAACACTCAAAGCCAAGCAACAGATATAAGGCAGCTCATTACTACTTTATATAAGCTACACAGAAGTCTTCCACTAGAACTATAGAACCTCTTATTATGTCTAAGTAACAGCCCAGAAATGTTTTCAAAAAGTGCAAAAGATTTTTCATCACTTCTGCTGCTCAGATTACCCACAGTGACATGATGTTATTTATTTGAAATAGGTAACTGATTCTCTAATAGCAGGCATTAAAAAAAAAAAAAGGCAGCAAGTTTTACTCAGGAGAATGGTTATTTGCACTCGTCAATGGAACTGGGCTAATCAAGTAGAAACAAAGAAAAATAATGATGTATACCCCAGATAGTTATTTTTCATAAGTAATATTCAGTTTAAGTTTTAATCCAGTCCCTTAGAGACAACAGCACAGACTTTTATTTTATGATTTTTAAACAAGGTACCTATCCTGTTTCTAAATAAACTGACCTGTTATTTGTTTAGGAAGGGAGTCTAGCTCATACTCAGCTCTAGAGCAATGTACCATGGCTCCAAACTTAAAGAAAATCACTTCGCTTGGATAAGAGGGGTTTAAAGTTTGAATAAATAAGGGCAGGGTGAAAGGAATGGTTAATAACCCTTCAAACATCAGTGTTTTCAGGTTCCAAATAAAAGAGTTACAAAACCTTGTAAGCTTTAGAGAAGAATACAGAAGCAATTACGTTATGCTGCTATCTGACCTAGTTTTCAGGAGTTTGGATCATCCTTTGTGTAACAGTCCAACATGGACATAGCTAAACTTAAAAACAGCTTTAATTGTCATTGGTTTTGGTGTGTAACCATGGAATCAATCACTAGATTTGCCATAGGTTTGCCAGAAGCTTTGAAGTTCATATTTCATTTTAAGGAACTTAAAATACCCTTTTGGTTCTGAGTTTAGTCATAAAAGCAATAGAGGAAGATACCTGTACCCTATGGAAAGAATCTGTAATTTTATGTCCTTTTCTTTGTATCATTTGCACTTGCAGGCATCTGTACAAATGCATAAAGGGGAAAAAAAAAAAAAAAAAGAGAGAGAGAATCACAAGGGAAAGCTGTTTACAGGGGCAGGGGCATCTAAAGCTGATCTGCTGAAGGGTGCAACATTTCTAGCTGCAAATCACAAAGCCCAGCAGAGACTGAGGGGCTGCTGCCTTCAGGCAGCTCTGCATCCCAGCAGAAGGAAGCCACCAACCTAAGACATCCAATTTCCGCTGAACCCAAAGAGACAGCCCACATACAACTCACAACCAGAGGGATTTCCAAGGGGAAAAAAAAATTGTGCATCTGAGAAGCAGCTCTACTATGATCTGTTTTCCTTGACTCAAGAGTTACAGGGCAGAATGAAGACAACACCCAGAGGAGACAGCAGTACAGAGGTTTAAAATGGGCCCAGGAGGTTTAGTACCTGACAGGGATGGCTGGCAACTAGAAGGGCTGTTGGGACACAGCACCTGACAGAGATGGGGTTAGTGGTAGTGGAGAAGAGCAGACAACTGGAGAAAACACTCACAGCTGCACACAGATGAGGGACTGGGAGAAGGACCTGTACATCACCATTAGGCATGGCAGGAGACAAATACTTTTGTAAGACAAATAGGTGCAAGAGTTGGATAGAATGTCTGTGCAAGAAGGCAGGTAACAACAGCTGGGCAAGACAGGGGGCAAGTACAGAAGAATGAGAACAGGACAAAAAAGAAGAGCCAGAAAATTCAAGCAGCACGTGGCAGGGTCTCCATCACTTACAGAACTACCACTTGTTTGGAAAACTTGGTCCCACAAGCCATGGCCGCAAACAAACGCCTGCCACAACAAATGTACCACCACGAACTTTTGTCACAGTTTTCCATTACTTATAAAACATTACAGAAACATACATTTTGTCAGCTGTCAATATTGATTCCAACCAGCTTAATTTTCACACAGTAAAAGGTTTAGTAAAGACAAATCATCTTTGATCCTGTATTACCTCTATGCATAACACGACGAGAGTGCATGTGTTCCAAGGCACTGCAAAGCTGAACAAAGTACTTCCAAACTGTTCTTTCAGGAATCAGTCTCTTCTGTTTCTTAAAATGCTTAAAGAGAAAAGGACAGACAGTGAATATTAAAAATTAAAACTTGCATAAAATGACTGGAGAAAGACCAAAAATCCTTTTTTTATAAAAAACCAAAACACAAACACTAGAGGTTCACAACCTAATGATAAAAGTTTAATAAAATTTCTTGATACAGAAAGCTTTTCCCTTAAATATTAATACATTTATCATCACACAGAGTTACAAATAACATTAATGCAATAAAACCGCTATCCCAAAAAAGGATTTATACAATATTTTGCAGTCCTCATTGTTGAATTAATGTGGTCAGAATAGTCTAGAATGAAGTGGTCACAGGACAAGGAAAGGTCAGATATAAAGGTATGTGCCACAGAACCTCCCAACCTAAATACTTCCTTACACCAATACTGATTTCCATACCCCCATTTTATAAATAAAAGAAAAACACAATAGTAGTGACACACAGTCACAAAGACCATGTAAGAAGGGTTGATTAGATTAGTCTTACAAACTTTTTCAATACATAAAAGGGGACTAAAGGAACTGATTTCTGAAAGTTTCATAGTGATTTAACTCCTCTTCAAATATTTTCCATCCTGTATAAAAAAAGACCTAAATGATCACCAGTAACAGTTCAATGGCCTGTTAAAGCTTAAGAGAAACAAATATGCTCTGCTACACACATCATCTTCAAATATTATATTCAGGAACTGGAATCACAGTCCTCCAAAGATACAAACTGAAAAACTGGAATTCAGCCAATACTGAAACATACAAGTTTAACAATTCTAAATTTTGCAGCTAAAGGTAAGAAAACTGACAAATTGTTGCTCATTTAGCCTCTCTTTTTAAAGAAATTGTACTATGTTAGATTTTCAAGTTAAACACATGCAGAAAATACCTAAACATTAATACTAGCAAAATTTTAGATGTAAAGCAAAGTACTCATGTGTATCTTAACAGTGTGTGTACACACACACATTTCGCATTCACACACACCTTACAGAGTTCACATAACGAACATTAGTTTGGAAAAACAAAAATATTTCCACATACTACGTTAAAACATGCTTGACAGCTGCATTTACATGTAAGAGACAGGCAGGAGTATGAGAAAGATGGTTTTAAACGGGCTGTAGCAAATGCATCAGTGATACAAAGGATCGTAACATTCCACCAGAATGTTTTTAGCTATAGGGATTATTTCAAAATGCATTTTCATTTAAATGAGGCAATGCATATAAATTACGTCTTTAAATGTAATTTTCTTTCAGTCTTGGACTGAATCCAAACAAACCCTGTGTATCTGTTCTCCCCATAGCTGGATTTGCATATCAGAGGATTGTTTGATGTCAACAGGAAGATGGAGACCAGGTTTCTTTTCATTTAAAAACAAATACACAATGCATGTAAGTATGTGAGCACGAAAGCATAGTTCCTTGATTTAAAATGCATTCTGAAATTATCATAATTATAACTAGGTACTTTATTTAAACATTCTGAATTATTATTTTTTTTTAACTTGAATGTAAGTACAAGCAAGTGATGAAACACCATTCACAAAATGTCTGAAATGGGAAGATTTTCCATTACAGATTTCCATTCCAATGTACCTGAAGTACATCAATGTACTTTCCAACTATTTATGTACAAGTTTTACCATTTTATTCACTTGCCATCTGTAGCACTGTAGCTGACTGTGCACTTAAAAATTGGCTTCAGTTCTTACACTGCAAGAATGCAATATAAGTGTGTCAGATGCAGTCTCATTCTACTGAAGGCATTAATAATTTTGCAGGATAATAATCCCTTCTTGAAAGCATCAATATTATTACTTAACCCGATAGAATTTGTCTAAAGAGGATGAAGAAAAGCTTCTAGATTTGCTAACAGTGTTTAAACTAAACAAACAGGCACCATTTTCACTTGTACAGATTTAAAAATAATCTAGTTATCTTTAAAATACCCACAATGAACATTATTTTGTTTAGTAATTAATCACACTCTCTTTTTAGTGAAAATACATATTTTCAATGTTTTCTTGGGCTGTTGTCCATCAATAGGCAAATCCGTGATGAAAAGCCTGCACTATCAAAAAGATTAATTTTGCAAAACTAGCTATTGAAACAAATTGTATGCTTCCAGGAAACAGTCTAGCAGGCACTGTTAATTCTGAGAAAAGTCAATAAGGAAGAGGAATTCCATTTCTGTTTCAAACCTTATGTTCTCACAAGAAACACAAGTTAATGGAAAACTTGGTCAAACCTATTTTATGCTGAACAGCATCACTAAATTCACATAGCTCACATTAACTGTATTCAAAGCAGGATCTTTTTCTTTCAACTCCATTTTAAAATGGCCCACAATGCCGTTCTGACGGTTGTGGTGTTTGCTCCCTCCCTATAGGGAAGCCAAAATGCAGAAGATATGATGCTGAAACAATGATTTTTAACCTCTGTTGTAGCAGAGCACAGTAGTAGCACCACAAACAGCCCACGCTGAACGAACTCGCTGCTTAGTGTGATAATGCCTGAAGCACTCTAAGGTCCACACCATCAGGTTAACTTAATGCAAGTTATCTACCATTGTACACAGGTTGATATTACCTGCCCAAATGTGCCCTCAGAGGAATCCAGCCTGATGTACACTACTCATTTTCAACACTTCTTCCGCCTGTCTCAGGCTCAAAGGACAGTGCTGACGTCCCTCATACCCCTGACCTTCTCGGGTGTGCCATTAAAAAAGCATGATCCTGTTTGAGGTCTCAGCATGGTTGAAACTGGGCGAAAAGGGAACTGCTCATACATGTGCATTAACAATTTGGGCAGTGCTGCAAGCCAGTGTTTTTTCAGGTAAACAGAGAATACCAGGCATGCTTAAGCAGCAGGCTGTCTTCCAGCAAGAATTATTTGTTTCAAGAGCCATATCCCATGAAATTTCCATCTCCATCTGAGAATGGAATCACAAAAAACTACTTTGTCTGACATGTCTTCACAATGTCAGTATAGATAAAACTGCAGTTCAGTCATTCAATGCAACTGGAAATTTTTGTCATAAATTTGCTAATCAGATGCCTTAAAGAGCTCTAAAGCAGGCAGGCTGCATCACCAGTTCATATTTTTGTCCCTTTTTACAGCATAACCGAGCAGTTTTCTAATAAGAAAATGTAACTCTGCTGGATCTCTAATGGATTGCTAAAAGAAAAATTAAATATTCTTCTAATGTTTCCATCCTGGTGAAGTTAAACATAGCTGCCCTGCACTAAAAAAAGCATATGCCATTCAGTTTCTTGGTGGCATTAAAAAAAAAAAAAAAGAGTAAATGATAGATGGGGAAAAAAAGTTTCAAGTCAATATAAAAGCATGAAATAATATACTGAGTTTCTAAAGATGATGTTTTAAAGGTCAAATTGCAAAAGCAAAAATGACAGCAATTAGCAAATTATTTTACCTAGGCTTAACAAGCACGGTTCAGAGAATACCCAGGACTGTGTGCGGATTTTATAAGAAGCTTAAGGATTTCCTGCACTTGAGTAGACAGTGAATGTAGATGATTTCAACACAACTCGAAATTTCAGATATGACTGCCTACATCTCAGTAACCACACTTGGAAAAAATTTAGTATTCAGTTCTGATTTGGGTATATCAGAGGATTTTATGGTGTGATTTACTCTGCTTTAGGCCTTGCTGCATTTTTCACTGCATAGGCTGTCGCCTAGAGTTACCTTCTGAAAGACTATATTTGGGAGACAAGTGAAATGAGAAAGATGATTAAACAGATTCCTTTCGCCTTCACCATTTGGTGAGACTCTAGATCACATCATTTTGTTCTCATGACAAAACTTTGCTTCTGGCTTCCAAAAACATAAAGTGTGAGAGAGGGTTACGTTTTATTGCATACACTTATCAGAATACAGTGATTCAACAGCAGATACTAGTTGGAAGAAATCTGAACTTCAAAAGCAAAGTGATGCAGAAATTATTATTACACAGAATTTTCAAGTAATACGTTATGAAGTTCTTGACCGCTTCTGACTGTTTCTTTGGGAGCCCTTTTTAATATGGATCAGTAGAAAGATGAGAAAGAGGAAAGAAGAGGTCAGGCAGCTGTAAAAGGAAACTAGGGAAGCACAACCAAGAGTTCTCACTCTGTGAATACAACAGAAACAAACCACAACTGGCAAGGGCATGGGAGGTCAAAACAACAGACCACTGAAGATAAATCTCAGCATCTCTGTGTTTTGGAGACTGAAGTATATGGAAATGAATTACCTACATAAGTCTTATTTTCTATTTAAAAAGCTAGTACCAATGCAGCATCACAGGAGTTTTGTCTGGCTCTGCTCTTTCATGAATTCAGCTGCCCATCTCTTTAGTCCATGGTAAGTTTTCTGCCATTTTTCTTTGCTTTCTATGCAGAACAAAAATAGAACTTCCCACCACATCCTGATTCATTCACTCAATTTGATCACAGCGTGATCAAATTTGCCTACATTTCAAGAGCAGCAGCTGTCTCTTAGTTGTAAAAAGTGAACAAATACAAAAAAAAAAAAAAAACAACCAAACCCCAACTATTTGGCATCTGCCAACTGAACATATAGCAAGTATTCAGTCAATAAAGTGACTAAAATGAAAATATTCACCTGGTTCTTTTTCCAGTTTATATTTACAGTTGCTTACATCTCCAGTTACTGAAGATACCATATATTTACCTTCTCCCTTTCACACTCCACAAAAAACATCTTAAAAAAACAAATCTTCCTCTATCAGTCATCTCAGTATACAATATACTTTATTTAATCAAGAACAACAAAAGACTAAGACACAGGATAAAAACTAGCATATAAAATAATGGTACTAATAGAAGTACCTATGAGCATCAGAAGGACCAGTTACTAGAATTTAACTCTGGTCTTTCTTTAAAAAGTTAAACACCACAAGGACACCACAGAATTGATAGAAGCATCTTCTCAAACAATATTATCTCATACACAACCAAAATAAAGACATCTAGTTAC